CGGCTCCTTTGCTGCAGATACTGCCTGGCCTGCAGTGTTCTTTCAGCCTCCTGTTTGTCGTCCTTGGATTTCAGCATCTGCAGTTCTTTTTTTGGTCTGCCGGTTTATCATGATGGTTTTTGGCGGAGAGTGATTGACACACTCAGTGTAATTTCAACGAAGCTGAAGTGGTGTGTCCATTTTAGTTTTGACATTTTCAGTTGATGTCCACACGTGGACAGGCTTTCGTAGAGGATGTTTGCAAATTTCAATTACGGTGGATTTTGCAACAAAAGCTGACGTGATTTTAGCCTTAAGTGCTGAAGTCCAATTTGTAGGATTTTGCTCCTGAGTTTCACTGGTGACTATGCCTTCGACTATCTAGAACGTAAACTTCTCTCCCTAAACATCTCTGTCTCTGTCGTTTTCCTCCGGCGAAGTAAAATCTACCTCAAAATTTACCCTAGATATGGTGCGCTCTTTTGAAGTGCCTGTGACATTAAAGGCGTTTTACAAATGGAGGTTACTCGCTTCTTATGACTGAAAGTGTTGCTTCTATATATAAACGAACAGACCGTTTTAACAATGTAAACAACTGAATTTTTCACCCCACCACCATTTATACATAAGACCATAAGACATAGGCGCAGAACTAGTTCGTTCCGTCCATCGAATTTGCTCCGCCATTCAATGAGATCGTGATCTGATAATACTCAACTCCACGTTTTTGTCTTTTCCACAATAATCCTCATTCGCTTTATAGATCAAAATTCTGTATATCTCAGCCTTGAATATACAGAACCACTTAGTCTTCTCATCCCTCTGCTCTAAGGAATTCAACAGATTCATGCCCCTCTGAGAGAAGAAATTTCTCTTCATCTCTGTTTTAGATGTGTAATCCCTTATTATGAGATTGCCCCCTCCGGTCCCAGACTGTCCCACAACGGGAAACAACCTGTCCACACCTACCCTGTCAAGTTTACTGCAAATCGTCAATGTTTCAATAAGGTGTGCCGCTCAATATGATCATAGCTGATCATCTAACTCAGTACCCTGTTTCTGCTTTTGCCCCGTAGCCTGTGATTCATTTAACCCTAAGAACTATATCTAACTCCTTTTTGAAAACATTCAATGTTTTGACCTCAATCATTTTCTGTGGCAGAGAATTCCACAGGCTTACCCCTCGCTGGCTGAATAAATCCATCCTCATCTCAGTCCTGATGGCCTACGCCGTGTACTTAGACTGTGAACCATAGTTCAAGAGTCCTCTGTCACCAGAACATTTGGAGATTGATCAGTTACTATCCGCTTGGGATTATATGAACTAAAGTCAACTCTACTCCAATTAGTTGTTTGGTTTAGTAACCAGTTATTTCGTAGCCAGCAACGCTACATCTCATTATATATACAATTGTTTAAAGTAACCTCTCAATATTTCTGAAGCACATTAAGATTTGCCTTGCTGCCCCACTGGTGTAAGGATCCATTTCACTCACCGAGAAGGACTGTTAAAATGCTCAAAATCCCAGTGCCTGCTCCCAGTTCAATCACTTTCTTCTGCGAGAAATCCATCTTCTGTTCCTCAAAGTACTGACACAAACCAAGAGCCTAACAAAAAGAGCAACCAAAATTATAACTGCTGCATCCAGGCGGTCCTGGCAAAAAATTAAGCAGTGAAACAGCATCGATCAGTCTCTTCCACTGCCGGAGAGTGGAGAATTTCCTGTTGATTTGTTCCTGGGTTCGATTCGCTATGACGAATCCAGGATTCCGGGGATCAGTGGGAGCATTACTCGGACTGTTTATCTACTCGTTGCTACCCTGTGTGAACCCAAATGGTTAAGGAATCGAACCCAAATCCCAATGTCCCTCCTGCTAACGAAGATCAATAAAGTCCATTAAATTTTACGTGGATAATAAAATCGGAGTTAATCCCCTGACTCGATAGCACTATTAGAATAGGCAACATCCCGGGCAAAGAGGTTGCAAATTGTGTTGGAGTACAATTCTCCTGATGATATTGGCCCACAGAGCTTCATGGATGCCCAGTCTTAAGTGAGTAGATCTGTTCAATTCGATATCGTTTATAAAGGTGTTAGAACCACGCAATACAAAAAAAAAGGGTAGCATCAATATGAATAGGTGGAACTTCATCTCCACAAGGACTGGGTAGAGTCGTCCTTATGAATATTGTCATAGATAGCTGTATCTGCAATTGATGCAATAGTATCACATTGAGAGATAAGGTTTTTCTCTCTCTTGGTCGTTTCCTCACCACCCATCTCAGATTCAATCCATCAGTGATGTCCATTAGGACTCGACCAACTCGATCATTGGTGGTGCTAATGAGCCACGTGTCATGATGGACATTGGAGATCCCTATGGAGAGTACATTTTGTGCCCTTGCCACCATCAGTATGTCCTCCAACTGGTTTTCAGAAGGAGTACTGATTCATCATCGAGGAAATGGGTGCTGTTGTTGGGAGTGGGAGGTGTTGGAATGCTAGGTGGCAATCAGTTTTCTTGGCCATTTTTCACTTGATTTCAGAAGATTTCATGGTTTCCAAAAGCAATGTGAAGTACTCTCAAGGCAACTAGCTCCTGACTGTACACCATTGTGCCATCACCTCTGCATGATCCATCTTTTCACTAGTACAGGGCATACTCCGGGGTCGTGATGGTGGTGTCTGGCACTTTACTGGCAAGAAATAATTCTGTGACAATGATTAAGTCAGTCTGTTGTTTGACTAGCATGTGGGCAACTCTTCCAATTTTGGCCCAACTCTCCAGATGTTAATATTCCACGCACATTAGTTCTGGCACCCTCACTTCCATGACACAACGATTATAGTGTTCCATACGGTTTTACTAGAATCCATTCAATCGATCATTCTCTGTCATTTCTGCCACCTCCAACATGATGCCACCATCAAACACATCTTCCCGTCTTCTTCTCCCACTGCAAAGGGAATGTTCCCTCCCCAACATTCTGGTCCACTGCCTCGGTTACCCCAAACACCTCTCTCTTTCCTACTGTACCTTCCCAAGCCATAACAAAAGATGCATCTCCCGTCCTTTCACATTTTCACTTCGATTAATCTAAATCCAAACATTCCTGCCAAGTGCTCTACTTCTTTCAATGTAGTTGAATCCATTGTTCACCATTTGATCTCCTTTACATTGGCGACACCAAATACAGACTGAGTCAATGTTTGGCGAAACATCGCCATTCCGATTATAAGCACAACTCTGAGCTTCTTGTTCCTTGTCGTTTCAACTTTTCACCTTGCTCCCTTTCTAACCTTTCTGACCTCGGCCTCCTACAGTACTTCAGAGTTCAAACGCACGGTCAAGCAATCACATCTAATCCTTCGTTCGATACTTTACAGCCTTCTAGAATACCATTCAGCTCGACAATTTTACATCATGATCTCTGTGTTGACCGTATTTCACCATTTTGGTGCTTCTGACTTTTTTTTATATATTTATTTGTTTATTCCTACATTTACATTTAGATAGTCAAATCTGATCGGAACTTTTTTTTTGTTATGCATGACCACCCCCTTTAGTGTTTGTGCCGTGAAACCTTTTGTCATGTAATCTCTCCCGCCCCCACTCAATCTCTCCTTTACGCCTCCTTTTACTTGCCAAAAATCTATTACACACCTGCATTTCCTCAATTCTGATGAAAGGTGGTACACCTGAACGATTAACCCCGCTTTTAGAGTCATAGAGACAAAGGCCCTTTGGCCCAACTTGTTCATGCCTCCCAGTTTTCACAATTAAACTAGTCTCATTTGGCTGCGTTTGGTCCGTATCCCTCCACACCTATACCATCCATGTACCTGTCTAAATGTTTCTTAAATGACGAAATTGTACTTGCCTCCAACATTACCTCTGGCAGCCCAATGCAGACGCTCACCATCCTCTATGAGAAAAAAATGCCCCCCGATCCTTTTGTATCTCTCCCCTCTCATTTTAAACTATGCCCTCTAGTTTGAGACTCTCCTACCAAGGGGAGTTGGCTATCTACCTTTCCTATGCCTCTCATGATTTTATAGATTTCTATAAGGTCACCGCTCAGTTTCATATGTTCCAGGGAAATTTGCCCCAGTCTATCCAACTTCTCCTTATTACTCAAACCTTCCAGTCCAGGTAGCGTCCTAGTAAATATTTTCTGCACTCTTTCCAGTTTCATAATATCCTTTCTATACTAGTGCAACCAGAACAATACTCCAAATCTGGCCTAACCAGCGTCTTGTAACAAGACGTCCCAACCCTATACACAGTCCTTTGACCCGATTAAAGCAAGCATCCTTCTTCATCACCCTGTCTACGTGGGACTTCACTTTGCAGGAGCTATGAACCAGTACTCCTAGATCTATTTGTTTTCTAACACTCTCCAGAGCCCTACCATTGACTGTGTAAGTCCTTGCCAGGTTTGACCTACCAAAATGCATGCCTTGCATTTATCTAAATTAAGTTCCATCCGCCATTGCTCAGCCCACTGGCCCAGTTGACCAAGATCTCATTGCATCCTCTGTCCACTATACCACCAATCTAGGTATTGTCCACAAATCTATTCATCATATCTCCTAAATTCTCATCAAAATCATTTATATAAATGATGCATAACAGTGAACCCTACACCAATCCATGTGGCACATTGCTGGTCACAGGCCTCCAATCTGAAAAGCTATCTTCTACCACCACCCTCTGTTTCTACTGTCAAGCCATATTTGTATCCAATTTGTTAGCTCTGCTTAGATCCTGCAAGATTTAGCCTTACTCATCAACCTACCATGCTGTACTTCTTCAATGACCTTGCTAAAGTCCATGTAGACAACATCTACCATGCTGCCATCATCTACATTCTTGGTCACCCCTTCAAACCACTCAATCAAATTTGTGAGACACGATTTCTCCTGCACAAAGCCATATTGACTATCCCAAATGAATCATTGCATCTCCAAATGCCTGTAGATCTTTTCTCTCAAAATCTCCTCAAACGATTTGCTCACCTGAGAAGTTAGGCTGACCTGTCTGTAGTTCCCAAGCATTTCCCTGCAGCCTTAAATAATGGTACAACATTAACCATACTCCAACCTTTGCGCACTTGACCTGGAGCTGTCAATGATACAAATATCTCCGCTAGGGGCTATGCAATTTCGTCCCTAGCCTCCCTTGGATATATTCCATCAGATGCCAGGGATTTATCTAATTTAATGTGTTTTATGACTTCCAACACCTCCTCTTCTGTCATGTAGACTCTCTTCAAGACATCACTCTTTATTTCCCCAAGTTCCTTACATCCATGCCTTTCTCGATGGGAAATACTGATGAGAAATATTCATTTACGATCTCACCCACCTCGTCTGGCTCCTCACATAGGCAACCTTGTTGATCTCTAAGAAGCCCTATTCTCTCACGAGCCACCTCTTTGCTCTTTATGCACTTGTAAAATCTCTTTGGATTCGTCTTTACCTTATCTGTCAAATCCATCTTGTGTTTCCTTTTAGCCCTCCTGATTTCTCTCTTAAGTGTACTTCAACACTCTCTGTACTCCTCAAGTATACTCCAACAGCCTCTTTACTCCTCAAGGCATTCACTTGATCCTAACTGCCTAAACATGATATATGCCTCCTTTTTACTTGACCAGGGCCTCAATAACTCCAGTTAGTCATTGATACCATCTGATTTGCTCAGTATTTCCAACATTTCCTGTTTTTTTTGTCAAATGTGTAGCATCTTTGGTGGTTTGCTTTTGTATTTGTGTTTTTTTTTTCTATTCATTTGTGGGATGTGGGCATCGCTGGCTGACCAGAATTTCTTGCCCATCCCTAGCTGCCCTTGGGAAGGTGATGGTGAGCTGCCGTCTTGAAGTCCTGCTATGGGTTGACCCACAATGCTATTAGGGAGGGATTTCCAGAATTTTGACCCAGCCACAGTGAAGGAACGGCAATATATTTCCAAGTCAGGATGGTGAATGACTTGAAGGGGAACTTGGAGGTGGTTATGTTCCCATATATCTGATTCACTTGTCCTTCTAGATGGAAGTGGTTGTGGGTTTGGAAGGTGCTGTCTGAGGATCTTTGGTGAATTTCTGCAGTGCATCTTGTAGATAGTAGACACTGCTGCTACTGAGCGTCTGTGGTGGAGGGAGCGAATGCTTGTGGATGTAATGCCAATTAAGCGGACTGCTTTGTCCTGGATGGTGTCAAGCTTCTTGAATGTTGTTGCGGCTGCACTCAACCAGGCAAGTGGGGAGAATTCCATCACAATCCTGAAGTTATTGAAGTTGCACTTCGCCAGGGAACAACTTCTCGATCTGTTTCTTAGAAGCATGGGAATTATTGGGAAAAATTATTGGTCTCATTTCCATTATGGTGGACGAATGAAGCAATACAAATGTTTTTTTTTTTAATTAGCCATAGTCATGAATATCCATCCATCAGTTCAAACACAGACATGAGACAGGGCAAGAGATATTGGTGAGTTTTAGGAATCACAGTTCCAAAGATACCTGAAGATACCAATGGCTTCCCGAAGCATATTACATTCAGCGTGTCTTATATTGTTAATATATTTTATCAGAAAATATCATCCGAAAGTAATCTAACGTGCACTTGAACGAAGCAACACTAGCTGTTTCTGTTATTTCTTTAAGCAGATATTTCCATAAGTTTACCATTCGCTTGAAGTAAAGTTCCTGCAGCTTTATGAAAAATCACCTCCAATTAACCGCTGCAACGGTCAGAAAGGCTCATTGTGCTATGATATATACCATCTCGGTTATTATATATTTTAAAAAATACCAGTTGTAAGGGGAGGTATGCCGTTTATAGCGAGGGAGCGGATTTTTTTTTTGGCAACAAGCAAACTAAGTGGCTTCAGTCTTCCCAATATTTAACTGGTGACAGGTGATAGTGGAGAATGCTGTGAGCAAATAAATCAAAGGCGGGCGATAGTTCGAAAAGGACGAGAAGCAGCTGTGTTTTTTTGCTGTCGGTGTCACACTATCATCTGTGACTTTGATAACAGGAAGAATATTATTAAGCTTGAAGAGGGTTCAGAAGAGATTTACCAGGACGTTGTGGGGAATGGAGGGTTTGAGTTATAAGGAGTGGCTGAATAGGCTGCAACCTTTTTTCACTGGAGCGTAGGAAGTTGAGAGGTGACCTTATCGAGCTTTATAAAATCATGAGGGGCATGGATTATGTGAATGACAGGTGTCTTTTCCCTAGGTTGGGAGATTTCAAGGCTAGGGGAATATTTTTAAGGTAACGGGCGAAAGATTTTTAAAAGATACGAGGGGCTTTTTTTTTACACGGAGAGTGGTTCATGTATAGAATAACTTTTAGATGAAGTGATGGATACAGGTACAGTTACAAGTTGTCGGAGGTGGGGTGGCAGTTTACAAAAACAAAATAATCACGAATTTACTTTGATCAGATGTGATGACAGATGTGGTAGCAGCATTTCACTATTACCAAATGAGGCATTACCTACACGTTCATTTCTGTCAGATAGCAACAGCGCGCGATTATTCTGTTAAGAATTCATTTTAATGAAAGCATTTATCTGGCAATCTGTCTGTGTGAAGTTGCCATAGTTTATAATGTTAATGTTCAATGAGACAGTTTCGTTCAGCCCTCCCGAGAAACGTTTGGACTCAGGTTAAATGTGTGATTGTGACATATTACCAGTCGGCCGTAGTTGCCTTCCCAGGAAATACATTTGACAATTAAGAAACTGCTATAAACTTACTGCATCCCAGACCACAGTTCCAAACTCTCTGTGAACTATCGGCTTCAAAGCGATTTCTAAAATGAAACCGCACACGGGGTAGATAAGCTTATACTTCAAACTGTCGGCTTCTGCGGAAACGTGAGTCATTGGTTTCCTCAACACGGAGATTATCTTGCTTTCTGACATCCTGGTGGATAAGCCTTGATCTTCAGCAACCCTGCAAGCTGTGGCCAGTCTACAGTTGGGTCTACTTTCGCCCTTACCTGTAATCTGTATTTTTTAAAGAAAATTGAAAATAGTGAATCATAACAGCTAGAAAGTTCATTTCGTCATTTTTCAACAGTCTGTACACTACACCCGGCTAATTCAGATGGTTCGAATAGATTATCTATGTCCAAGTTCACTCTCCATATAATCGCACTGGTTTCCAAGTAGCGCAGTAATATTTCCTCTCCTTAGCGCCAGAAGATCCTGGCTCACTTGTTCGGGACATGTTTGAACAAGTCAATTAAAATATCTATATTCAACTTCTCACTGTTTACGAACACTGGAGTTCAAACGTTTCAACTAGATTTAAAATGGATTGCAAAGCACAAGACCCGCACAATATCTAGTTCGATTTAAGACGATGCATTTGAGTTCTTAAACAAAAACAGAAATTGTTGGTAAAGCTCAGCAGGTATGGCAGCATCTGTGGAAAGAAATCAGAGTTAACGTTTCGGGTCGAGTGACCCTTCCTCAGAACCGAGGAAAGTTCTGAGGAAGGGTCACTCGAATCGTACCGCTAAGTCTGATTTATCTCCGCAGGTGCTGCCAGACCTGCTGAGCTTTTTCAACAATTTCTGTTTTGATTTCTGATTTACAGCATCCACAGTTCATTTGGTTTGTACTTCTCACTGTGCTTGACTATGCCTCTGAATAGACACTGAAATCAAGATGTTGTCTCAAATATTTTCCACTCAATTGGTCATAGATCTAGGAACATAGAGCTTCTACCAAACAGAAAGAGGCCCCCAGGGTCCATGCTGTCCACCCTGGCCTTCAAATATTCATCTATTCTATCCTCATTTTCCAGAACTTGGCCCATAATCTTGCACACTGCTGCGTTTCAAGTGCTTGTCGAAATATTCTTAAATGATTTGATGATTCCCGCCTCTACCACTCTCCAGATATTGAGTTCCACCTTCTGGGTGAAAAAACGTTTTTCAAATCCCCCGGACCACCCTCTGCTTCCTGGCACTAAGATAAATTTTGATCAAATTTGAAAAAATTGCCCTGATCCCATGGGCTGTTAGCTTCGTCATCAGTCTGTTGTGCAAACCCTTGTCCAAAGCCTTACTTAAGTCCATGCAGATTAGATCAGCTGTACTGATATCTGCACACCTCGTCACCTTCTCGAAAAATGAATCCACTTTGTTAGACATGTGTGGTCCCCTTACAAAGTCATGCTGACGATTTGTTCTTAATCCTTTCTTCTCCAAAGAAAGATTAATTATGCTCCACATTTTTTTTTCCAATAGTTTGTCCACAGCAGATGTTAGACTCACTGGCTTGTAGTTTTCTGGTTTATCCCTACCACCCTTCTTGAATAATAGTATCACATTAACTGTCCTCCAGTCTTCTGACACTTCAGAGGGAATTTGAAAATTAATACCAGGGCCTCTGCAATCATCTCCTTTGCCTCCCGCAGCAGCCTTGAATATATCTCATCTGGGCGTGGGTATTTATCACTTCCAAATCAAATAAAACCATTAATAGCTCCTCCTTCTCAATGCTAACACATACTACTTTAACCATGTAGTTCAACATTATATTGCTTTTGATTCATTCTCTGCATTGGTTGGACATGTTACTGTTGACTCCATGGTGATTCCATGGACTGACTTAGGTTATCCTTTATTCACTTGTACATTTGCAGTGTGCATACAAATTTGTCCTCAGTAAACTGATCTTCCTTTGTTCCTTTTAAGCATTTATTTTATTTAATTCATTCTATAAATTCTAAAGGTTGTCTCCCAGTTCTGCTTCCTCTTTTAGCTTGGCATAACCGGTAAATTGGAAAACATTGCATATAATGTTTCAGTCCATATGGCTTTGGATAATTAGAAACAAGTTATTGCACCACTGAACCATTCAAACCCCCTGCAGATGCGAGCTCTCTTTATGTTCCTTCCTCATTTATCTGGTCTTTTTTCCATTCTCAGCGCCTTGGCTGAATTCAGACAGGCGTGAGTTTAAATGAACAGAAATTGGGTTACACAATTTCTTAAAGCCTCCTTGGAGTTCAAAATGCATCACATCAGTGGCGTTAATAATGATCCAATGCGATTTTCTCAATTGTTCACACTCATTGAGAGGTGAGACTAGGTATAGCCCCTCTGAGCCTAAACTGTGGTAAAAGTGACATGCAAATATGCATCCGTTCTTGAAATTAATTCATAATACTTCAACCTTAACAATCTGCACTTGTAGATATTTTCTAATGAACTGTTCAGAGCTCCTGTGACACATCTCCAGGGCAATTGGAACTTGAACCTCCTGTCGCTGAGGTAGAAGCAGTTGCCTCCGCATCCGCGCCCCCCGACTTCAACCTCAAGCCCACGTACGACCACCACAAGAGCCCGAACTTGCATTTATATAACGAATAAGATAAATGCGGCTCCTCCCAGAAGTATATTCTAACAATTGAAAGAATAAAGGAAGGGAAACATCAGGCTCGTCTGTTAAAATCCTGAACAACGAGCTGAGAGTTAATTGAATGCAGTTGAAGCAAAAAGAGAAATGCGAAAAGTTGGAAGCGTTTAGGATTGTTCGAGTTTAACATCGGCATGCTGAAAATACAAGCATCGGAGCTGGGCGCAAGGTGGATTAAAGAAAAGAAATTGAGGGCTCCAATTCTCAGAACGTTATTGGCCTGGCAATTGTCACAGAGATGGCGAAGATTCAGTGAAAAAATGATTTGAAATGGAGAATGACAAATCCAAATTTGAGTTGATGGCGGAAGAGAAACTAGTACCGTGATGGAGAAAGAAGACTTGGTGCAGTTGGTAGGCTGTGGAAAATCGAGTATGGCACAAGGTCATTATAAGGGTGTTGTACAAGGTATCAGCAGGAAATGGACGATTCTGCGGGTGGGGCGGGCGCGGCGACGTCTGCAGATGTCATAAACGTAGAAGGAAGTGGTCTTTGTGACGCAGGGACAAGAGGCTGATCAGGGTGTGCTGGGTGTCCTGATGTCAGATATTACGGAAAATCTAGAAACATTTTCTATGATTTTTTGTAACAGAAGACTTATTCTAATTTTTTGTCTAATCAACTGTAATGGACATGATGTGCACTCCACATGACACTAATCCATCTCCAACATTTAAAAGCCAAACTGAAGACGGAAGTGGAAGACAAGAGAAACTTAGGGATTCATGGGGAAAGGCAGCAACGTGGACCTGAGGATTATGAGATTATCCTAATTATCTGATTAAACTGTGGAACAGACTCGATAGGTTAATTGGGCTATTTCTACGTTTCATGGTCTTGGAGCTATTTTCCTAATCAACCTAATCAGCAACGTTATTATACACTTCTAGAGCAGATAGAACTTGAACGCAGGACTTAACCAGTTCACAGGTAGGGACTTTACCACTGTGCCACAAGACCCCAGAGTTTATAGCCTTATGGAAAGGTCGATGATGGATTCCAGTAGTGCAGACGCCTCCATTCGCTGACCACTGGGTGTTGTGAGGCGGAGGACAGAGATCATTTTCCCTGACAACAGAAGGAAGAAGCCAGCGACTGAGCTGGGGTGTTACAGCCTGATTCACTGGAGGTCGGTATAACAGGAGATCAGCGGCAAAGTATGTTGTAACCCAGTCAGTTTCAATAATTGTTCGTGGTTTAATAACATGGATCTGCATCTTGCTGTATGCTTCCCCAACACGCACTCTTTCTTTCAAACCCATTCGATCACAATAATTCTCACATCCGTGTAGCTCGCAGCATTCTATTTTTGCTATACGTATCCCACATCCCCATCTATACATTCTCGACCCCGGTTGCAATTCTCTCTTTTGAACTGTGCGCATTGTACTCATTCATAGGCCAAGTAAATATCGTCTTGCAAGGGTTCTTGTGGTGCAGTGGTAGTGGCCCACCTCTGGGCCAGAAGGTCAGGGTTCAAATCCATCTTCCGCAGTCGTGTGTCATTACGTGTCCGAGCAGATTAACTGAAAATGGCTACCTATATCTTCCTGCAGAAGAGAGCAAAGAATGCCAGTGAGGTTGGGAGAACGGAACATAACGCAATACCTAGTTGACAACTGTAGAGGACGTTGCTTGGGAAAACACGGGATTTCGAATAATTTGCTGGTGGAAATGTTGACGTAGTTAGTTGCCAATCTTCGTGACGCAATTAAGTAAAGGCCAACCGTACCGTCCAATGGCACCCAACTACGTCACAATACCACATTCTTTGCAATATTAAGAAACAACATAGCCCTATTTCGCCTCGGTAAATGTATGACTTTTTGGTCCAATGGGTTGAATATTTATTGCAATGTTTTCATGAGATTGATTCAGCCTTCCTCAATTACAATCACTTTCCCTTCACTGGCGAATCCAAGGGTAGCTCTGGAAACTCGTGAAAATGACATGAAACTCGTAAATATTTTTGTAATGTACAACTAACGTATATATATTTTGGATTCGCCTTACTGGAGAGGGCTACATGGAGTTGTTAAGGTACAAGAATGAAACCCAGATGTTGAAGGGCTGGAGCTTTGTTTCCAGCATGCCATCAACATTCCTAGTTCTGACCTCCCTCTGGACACTGCAGAACCGATGATCTGAAATTATCAGTGACTATATGTTTCCTCTAGTCCAGCATGTTCCATTCTTAAATAGGATTAATTTCCGAAAACTGTGTTTCTTGTCATGTCCCTGCCCAAGCTCTGAATTGTTTCTCATTCCACTGTAAGGAGAACAGCCCAAAATTGGAGGATTTGTATCAAGCGTCCCATGATTAGAAACACCAACGGTGAAAGCGGGACAGATCGGTGAGCAGGACAGCGAGATGTCAAAGACTAACATGAGATGATAACCGAAGATTGAAAACCATAGCAAACAAGCAAAAATTTGATAATACTTAAGGAGAAATTGTGCAAAAGAAATAGGAAATATTATTTTTCCATTAACATATATTCACATCTCTGTAATATAATGGCAGGGAGGAGCTACAATAGTGATGGATATACATTGTGAATATCAATGATCAACTT